CCCCCCCCCATCTTCACCTCCACATTCCTGCCCATGTCCATGACGGGAGTATCAGGGTCAAGGGCAATTAACTTTGCTTTGTGTGAAGTATGCTTTATTTATATCTGAGGCTTTTTATTATTCAGAGGAGTACACAATATAAGAAAAGTCAAAACCTCTGAGTGGTATATTTTAAATTAAATTATCTGAAATTGTATGACAACAGAAATGTGCATTATATTACCAAAAGGGCAATTCACACTAAATTCACTTTGCAGTTAAGAATTTTTTTTTATCAAGACAGAACCTCTACTGATTCATTTGCTGCACAAAAAAATAAAATGCTGTCTTGTGCCCAAGAAACTGTATGTTTAACTCTCTTTTAACGATGAAAGCGGTTGTAAGTCAAACTGATGGCAGGTGGGCTCAGCAGGAGTCCCTCAGATGTAAGATAGATGTACTTGTTAGCAAAGGTGAGTAACAGGAGTCATGGCTTGACTGGTCAGTAAACACACCACAGAGAGTTAAAGTGCAGCAACAAAGGCAAAAATACACACTGTGAGTCATCTGACAAGACTTTTACTTTTGCCCATATTTAAAGCAATGTCGAATGTGCTTTAATGAAATGCTGGCTATCATTACTCAAAAGTGCTTTAATAGATATGTAGAGCTATTACATTGTCTAGCTATTTCTTTATCTACCAAATCAGTCATCTTGGACGAGTAAAAGCTGCCAAATGGTCCGTGACATTACATTTTGTTGATTCATAACAGCAGTATTTGGCTACTGGTGGAGAAGCAAACTGCTGATGTTAGTCCTAAATCTGCAGTTCGCTCCCCCCGTTCCTGTGAAAGAGGAGAAAGCCAAATCCTCATTTACAATACAGGTAAACATCAACTCCACGGCAGGTACACATTAAGGTGGGTTTACTTTAAAAGAAAGAAAAAGGGAGAAAGAAAAAAAGGAAGAAAAAAAAAGCTCCTTTGATTCTGTGTTGGTGGAAAAAAGTAAATTTACACCAGTTGCTGTTCAATTTGGACCGGTGGACAATAAAGCAGGAGCCAGTGCCTAATAAGAGCCATGCCTGAGAGAGAGAGGGAGAGACACAGAGAGCGAGAGAAACCCAGTGGAGGTGTGTCTGCGTCTCGGCTCCAAGGTTCCTGCTAATAGATTTCAGCTCCCTCAGTTTCCCAATTAGCTGGTATGTAATGCTTGGTTTATGAATTCATGTGTAGATACTAAGTGTTAGAACATGTGTGAACATGTACAGTGTGAATGCATATTTACACATACATGGCATTGTATGTGTACGGCAAAGATACAAGCTGTGTGTGTCATTATCACGCCAAATAAACAGCAACTACCTGTTGTTTATAAATTCATGTACTGACTATAGTGGTGATTTAAATACATTTTTAAAAATCCCTTATTTAAGACCGAAAGGAATCAGATTACACTGACCAATTCCCAGCCAAAATCTGCCTATCAACGTCAACACATGGCGACACAAACAGAAAACAAACAGATAAACCTGTCCAGTTTTAGTGCAGCTTTTACCACTTTTTAAGGAAGAGCATTACAAAGTAAATAGTGAGTGCACTTTTAACCCTGACCCTGTGTGAGGATGGACAGGCAGAGCTCAAGACTTACCTGTAATAAACCCCAATAGCTTCCACACATGACCATAAATCACACGGTATGCCTTCAAAGTATCGAATATCGACTAATACAACACCGCTCACCCCTGGCTTTTATCCCCCGTGCTTCCTTTTCTGTGTTCTGGTGGTGGCACTGCCTTTAAAGTGCAACCATCTCACTTTTTTAAAAGGCACGCCGAGCAATTTATTTACCAAGAAACTGCAGCCGTAAATGACAGAAAAAGCTGCACAATTTACGGACAAGTAGTGAATGGGGGTAGGGGGGCCCAGAACGAAGCCAGGGGTCTTGGCTGGGCCTGTGAAAGCCTATAAAGCTTTAGTAGTAGCCCACGACCTGTTTATGGCTGGCTGAGACGCTGTGGTGTGAGGCTCCTGATCACTCTGCAGCTCGTGACTGCTGCCGCTCTTGCATAACACACAAACAGGAGATGGTAACGGAAACAAGGCATTAAAACAATGCAAACAGATTCAGTGACATGGGCTTTATTCTGCAAGTCTCAGAAAGAAAAGGTCTGGGCCTTTTTTTTTTAAATTAGGTAACGAGGCAAAAAAAAAGAAGAGTGACTTAAAAACAGAAAACATCTAACCTTAACATTGTGTGAGGAATAAATGGGTAAATGATGCATTTCATTTTCCACAAAACGTCTGAGGCTCTTGGCATTTGTCTTGGCCCGCTTAAATGTGGATTGCAGAACTGGCTTGGCATGCCGAGCTGGGGGACCTGGTATGCTCGGAACTTCACAGCATAGATGCAAATGCCCACCAAGAAGATTCAAGGCAGATGTGGACTGAAATGGCGTCCTTGTAAGTAGCCATTTGGTAACGGTATTGCAGGAATTTTTTATTTTGAAAATGTGGCTCACCTCGTCTTCACCACATCGAGGGGATGCATCAAGCAGATCTCCACCAGACCTAAAAAAAGTGAAAAAAAACCCCCAGTCAAGATTAGTCACTTTAAAAAAAATAGGTAATCAGTTCTCTATTTTCCTTGCTTTCTTTTTTGTTCACTGCACTGATGACTGCTTACGAATGAAGATAAATGAAAAGCTTTTTTTATCAGTCGCTGGATGATTTCCAACGGTTTCAAGATTGTATTTCTGCAAATGCACTCCTTCTGCGTTCTGCACAGACTGTTTACCAGCATGAAACCAAAGCCTGCTCAAACATGACTGGTCAATACAACTGGACTACAAACAGAAACCAGACATTTCTGATGGTTAAGACAGCATTAAGTATGTTGAAGAAAGATTCATTGGCAGCATACGTTTGTCAGAAATGACAGTAATTGAAAATTCTGAGTTTGAGTCTCTATAGTTTCAAGTTGGCTTTCCAAATGCTCAGCAATTGCTACTTAGTCTAAACTGAGCATATTTAGGTTTGGGACAGCCGGCCATACCATGCACACAATTTTTTTTTAGAGATTTTAGTAAAACATAACTAAATGTGAATAAAATAATAAATAATCTACAAACAGTGATATCGTTTATCAGTCTATTTTCTTTGTTATGACTTTTTTGTTAGTCTTCTTGTTCTGTTTTTGTAAATCACATCAGTGCTGTGAGCCAGTCAAATCTTCCACATCGATCATGTGAACTCGTAGATGTATGCGAAATCTCTGTGACCATCAGATAGCAACACAGTGTGTGTGACAGTCACCCTGTAAACAATCTGATAAGAAGCTTGTTTAACGTCTAACTGGGGAAAAAACAGTGAATGTTCGTTCATGTGATATGTTTCGCTTACATTTTAAACCCATTTAAATTGGAAAGTTCTGTAAAAATACATTTTTTCATGTTTCTACCAAATGGTTTTGAGGTGCAGCCCGTGCAAGTCCTAGCAACTTTACATAAGAACCTCATCATCACTCTGATTATCACTCTGCCTTTTGGAAACAGCAGCTACTTCAGTAATTCTCCGTTTTTTATGCATTGGTCTGAATGAGAGATCCGGCAAGACTTCTTTTTCTTTCCAAAAACCCTCTGAGTGCTGAAGCCACCGACTATATCACCCGTGCAAACCCAGTACATCAGCAATATGCCAGCAGAATCAATGCAGCCGGGTGATCATTGAAAGACTCTGAGGTTTCACACACACGCTAACTATGTGCATCTGTGTTGAAAAGCCACTGCTTTGGCACGGAGGCTCTCTGACTCAATCAGGATTTTTTTTTTTAACTGGCGATTCTCACTGCATCCCTTTACTGGGGCTCTGAGGGCTTCCCTTGCAGATTCCACTGTGTGTGTACACAGCTGCTGTGCAATATGGGGTCTTTCTAATTTGCTCAATTAAACATATTGTCTATAAAAGCGTGTGTCTTCTGGGGTTTTTCCAGGGAAGTAATTATCAAGTGAAATACCACAGTAAAAATTACTTTGTCTACAGTTGCATCTTAATGTACGAATGGGAGAACTAAGAAGCACTGAACCAAGTTGCCAGTGGCAAAGAGTCAAACAAAATTCCATCTGTTACGGCTCAGTTGACCTGACTTTGGTTCTTAATGACACTGCGCTGGAGAGGTAAATGCAACCGTCCATTGGACAGATTGTTTTCTGTCCTCTCTATTAATAGGCCTGATGTGAAGACGAGGCGTGTCAAATCTTTCAACGGGTAATCAGATTACATGATGAAACCAAACCAGCCTGTTTGCTCGATCAGCCTGTGCACTTTCTGGGAAGTGACTGAACATGCTCAAGGTGATCTAGGGGAGGAAGTGCAAAGGGGAAAAAGAGACAACTTCTTCAAACAGTGGACACTTGTGAGGAAGGCAAACAAAGATACAACTCTCCCCAACTCATTGTGAGCCTCTGTGTGATCTAAGTTAAAAGTAAAGCAGGAGTCGCATGTAAAATAGGTAAAACACCACGCCATAGTCAGCAGAGCAGGATTGCTCCCGCATTAAGTGTATTGGAGGGAAAATGCAAAACGTATTTTTGTGAATTGACGTGGAAATGAAATATGAGTTAGCCATTACTACTTGTATCATAACAAAAGGTGCTACTACATTTTTTATGGCTAAATAAAAGCCCGTGTCTCTAGGTTGTAGAATGAGCAGAGATCAAAACAAACCAGAAAATACACTGAAAACAACAGAGCAGAAAATCTCTTAGTAATCTATTATTTACATTTTTTTAAAACCATGAAATACATTTTGCATCTGTGCGTATCTAAATAGAGAAAAAGACGATGATGCTTCCTTTGGCCGTTGACTTATTCACAAGAGGTTGACACAGCAGGCGGCTCGGCACATTTCATTCGGCAGATTTTTCCCCCACATGCTGTTCCTGATGCAACCCCATAGGAGATGTGTGTCTCCTCCAAAGGGAAGTGTAAACCATTACACTATGGTGTGACTATCTGTGCACATCTGAATACTTTACTAAAATGATTACTCTAGTTTTTCGGGCCTTGTGATCAACCTCAGATTACAGGAAATCTGTCATCCAGTTTCCCATACGTGGATTAAATGTAACCCTAGACTAACAGAAAAATCTAATCCCTACTGAAAAACAACTTTTGATTTAGGACTAGGTTTAATCTATGAATGGGAAACTGGGCCTAAAGGATACATAATTATAACCAAACCAGTATCAGTAGAATACTCTTCACCAACTGACAGGTCTGCCACAGTATGCAATTTAGGTACAGCAATTCATGAGGTGTGTTTCACTTCTCAGGGTATCATTATGTAAGTCTAAGTGCATTATGGACCACAGCGTGTCAGTTAGCAATGTATGCTGCTTTGTTCCTCCAAGATGGCAGTTGCAAAAGGATTAAGTGATGACAAGCACTAATGCAAAACTCAGCTGTGTTTGTCTGAGTATTTGTCTAACACCCTTGCAAACAGGACAACTGAAGAAGAGTTGATGGCAGATGAACTGACAGGCTGTGTGGACTTGAAGAAAAAAAAAAAAGTTTGTGGCCATAATCCTAAACTGACCTCTACGTGACATCTCACACACACAGCAGTTTATTTATAAGACACTCCATAGTGATTTCCAGCAGTGCTGTAAAATCGATTCATTTGTGTTAGAAATCAATTTTATATTAGCACATATAATCACACTGAAGTTTTCTATTTGTTAAAAAACCTGTAAACAGCAGCTAGTTGTATGCAACCAATTTGTGATTATTTTGATAACTCCAAGTCAACATATTTGCATTTGGGGAAAACTAGGTGGAATAAAACAGAACAATGATGCGGCGTGTCCTCTCACTCAAAGTACAAAGAATACACTGTGAGAAAGGGCACAGCAATTACATAAGTGATGACAGGTCCACAAAAGATGCAAGTTGTTGCTGCAATAAATTCTGATTTATAGAGACTATTCTCAGAGAAGCAATTAATTCCAAACAATTATGTTAGACAGCTCATTTTTTTCCTGCTAATGTCCAATGGAAACACTTCATCAAACTGTCTCTGTGTAAAAAACCAAGTATGTAATTTCCTCGACATTCTCACACCACTGTGCCCCAGTGTATCCTGCCTTTCTGTTCCAACTGCCAGTGCAAAATGCTTTTTAATCATACAGTGCGGCCATAGTGAACCCACACACTCTTGAGAGCACTTCACACTCAACAGTCTCTGATGCAGTCACCGAGCATGCTGAGGACGCACTGAAGGGATGATACTACTGAACTTTTCTTATATTTAGCCCGAGTTTGGCTGCAACTCTTTCTGCAATTGCTTCCCTCCTCCAGCTGTAAGGAGGAGCCTAATATTACAGTGACCCGCCATCTGGTTGATGTTTATGGCTTTGCCATGCATCAGTGAGTTGCATATTAGAAAATTCCATTATTTAAAGGTTCTTTTATTTCTGATACACAATAGTACTGACAGGGCTTGTCATTCAGGAAATTGCAGACACACATATACACACACGGAGGCGCACGCGCTAATGGCAAAGGAGTGTCTGGAGCGCAGCCATTTAGACACACTTAAATATACGCCGCCACACTTGTATTTCAGACACATGCATTCAAGGCTAAGATGCAGTGTGAAGGTGAACTGAGCAGTGGAAACAAAAGAGCTGAGATTAATGTGGCACAACATTAGGTGAATTTTATGCCCATCGCCAATGCAGAGTGGTGAAAAAGAGCTTTTATTTTGGCTCTCACATTCACCACATGTCTGAAAAACAATGAGGATCGGTGTTAAAAACTGCTGCATCAATCTTTTTTTTTTTCCTACACAGTGCAGTGACTCTTTAGAGCAGAACCAACAAGTAGCTTCACTGGTAGCACGGGTATTCAGACATTCCAGGTCGTCTGATAACTTGTCCAAAGAAAGAAGATCATACATCACACAGATGAGATGATTATCTTCATTGGTTTTGGCATGGGAATGCATACAGTTTGCTCCCACGCAAAAGTGAGAAAGAACAACAATAGCGCACCAGGGAATGATTGCTCAATGGGTGCAGGTGTCATCCATCACGCCAAGACACACATTGAATGACTGTAATTCCCAGCAACCACAAGGAGAAGGTCACTGCTTGGAAGCAAGATTTTCCTTGTTTAATGGGCTAATACTTGAAAGACAAACTAGCTGGTTATTTCTCATGCTTACTTGACCCAATGAATGCTATAATCTCAAACAATGGCTTAAACACTACTTTCTTAACAATATTTATAATATATAAATTATTTAAATTTAATAATAACTTATTTTAATTAATTCTATAAAATACTGACACTTTCAAAGTTGTAGAGATGTCAAAATTATGTAAACTGTACACTTTGTTAGTGAAATATCATGAAGAGCATGAAGAGATAAAAAAAAAAGGTGACAGATAAACAGCTTAGTGAATTTTTTTCTAATGCATTTTAAAACCGATCCAACATTGCTAATTGTTTTCCAAAATCAACGTATTACTTGGTTCATTGAGAGCCAGAGCAGAAAATCGGAGCTTGCT